GATATTTCCACTCTTTTAAGGGGCTCTTCCAAGCTCCGTTATACTTTACAGTCTGTTAAACCCAAAATGCGTTCACAAGTAAGTTTGTTGTTATTTCATCGCACTTTGGTCGTGCTTTTGATGCACAAATACCCAAAACACGACCAAAACATGCTCGCCATCGTACTTTGAAAAAGTGATTCAAAGTACGACGGAAATGATTCTGATTGGCTCCGTTCGTTTTTGAGAGTTACTTGGAAGAGTCCCTAAGTACTTCGTACCGGTACTACGTAGTATTCATTTTCCATCAACACTAATACGACTTCCGACATGATTTTCAGTGCATTAATTCTCCTCTTCAAGAAACACTATTATAATAGCAATTTGGTATAGTATTTGCCTGGCGTAACAGTCATGCAATACCTGTATAAGTTGATAATTACTACGCACTTGCTGAGCTTTCAATTTTGCTTACAGTGAGATGGTTTCGTCGGCGGCTCCGATATCAAAGTCCATGCCACCTGGCGTCGGGGACAGGATTGGCGTGGAATGGATGTATTTGTGCGGAACGAACGAGTACTCGCTCCGCCCTGGATCTCGCATAGCATGGATGATGCGCTTCCACTCCAAAGACGATGAAGGCTTCACCGCCGCCGCCATAACACGAGGGGATGAGGTGGTAACACGAGGGGATGAGGTGGTGGCATCATGGATATTGCATTGTAATTGGTGGAAACCGACCAATCAGTGTGCGTACCAAACACTCCATACTGTGAACCAGTTGAGGTTTATGACTCCGGCGTAGTAAATACGTAGAATTGTTTGATTGGCCCAATTTCAGACCTAACGCATAGCCATTGGTCGCAATGTTACCAATTGGAGTTTTTTTGTACTGGATACTGGATATTGGTGTGAGGGTAAATATGTATATAAACATATGATCAAATAAATAAATTTGGGATAACGTGTTATCGAGAGAATGCTGTTCTTTGCCTTTTTCGTTATTTGCCCGACAGAATTCTGTCAGCAAGTACTATAATTATTAAACATGATTGATCAACACGCAAAAAGAGTACATAATGCAACTATAACCTGTGAGACACCAATTTAGACCATTTTTTGTGCCTCTCCGCAAAACGATCATTTCTCAGTCATCAATACGAATTTTGAGCTATCGATAGAATATCATGTTTGTAAATAATGGTCTGTTGTAGTAAAATAGTATTTTTTTAATCCACACTCTTAGAATATCACACTATTAATAATAATCCACATCGTCTCTAGCACTAATGTTTATTGTAATAACACGATACACCTACATTAATAGGAGTACTTCGAAGTATGTCGGTTGTATACCTGAGTCGAACTTTAGTATTTATAGTGTTTCGGTTTCACTTTTGTCGGCAGGTTGGAAATATGTGTTTCGGTCACGTCGGCGACACGGTGCAGAAAACAAACCATTGTTGAAATGAATAAATAACTCGCCTGGGTCAGACTTTAGTATTAATAGTTTAACCATTAAGTTGGGCCTCCCCTATGGTGTCAAGCACCAAAGGCTGGAGCTGAAACTGGACATTTGGATTGGCGAAACCAAGCGGGAGTGGAACATGCGGAGGGAGAGCAAGAAGCCGTCGAGAGTCCATCGTCACCACCGTCGCGTCGTTGATGTCAATGGGGGCGACAAACTGCGGCGCCAGCCCCACGATGCCTCCTGGGGGCTCGACAGAGTGGAGCTTGTACTAGCACGCTTGAAAGTGTGGCGAGAT